TAAGCAATCACACATTTATTCACCCATTTATCTATCTAGTCATCTATCCATCTATACATCTAATTATCCATTCATTTACCCACCATCTATCCATCCATCCACCCATCTAATTATTTATCTACCTATTCATCCATCCATCATTCATTTATACATCCATTCATCCATCCATTCATCCATCCATGCACCTAATTATCCATCCATCCATTCATCCATCCACCTATCCATCTACCTATCCACTCATCCAATTTATCTACCCATTTATCCATCTATCATTTATATATACATTCATCCACCCCGTTATTCATCCATCCATCCACCCATCCATCCATATATCCATCCATCCATTCATCTATCCATCAACCAATTCAATTATCCATCTACCCATTTATCCATCCATCCATCTGGATCAGTTATTACCACTTTTCCATGTTGGCTGAGTACGTTGAGTGACATGAACAACAGAAAGGCCGGGGCCACCTGTCAGCACTATTTTATAACTCTGAAGGTCTGAATTACAGCCACCCTCTCACTCACTGAAGGTCATTTAGCATGGAGTGGCAGCTCCCCACTTTGGGCTCCAGGGTCTCTGTCCACGAAGACTCCACATTTCCCTGCATGATCTCAGCCATCAAGGGAAATGACCCACTTGGGAACTGTGACTATATTTGCTCAGTGGGATCAGTGACTTGAAAGTGGCTCTGGGAAGCTTCCAGCTCTGGAGTCCACCCAAATACCTCCAAGTATTGGATGACCTTCAGAGAACCATCTGTCCAGTCTGCCAAGAGAGAAAACTGGAGAAAAGGGAGTAGACCTGGGTTATTTGGACAGATAAGATTTGAAGTAAGAGATTTCAAAGTTCTGGGCTCACTGTACAAGGAAGACCAAAAGTAGACTTCACATGACGTTTTCTTAATTAAACCTAAGAAGGAATTTGGGGATTAACCCCATCTACAATCAGGGACTGAGACTGGAGGGATCTGGCCTTCATATATGGCTACTTTGTGCATAAGCATTGATGCCGTGACTCTATGCCTTAAACTCAGTGCTCTGTGTTTCTCACTAAAGCCATTTATTCAGAATAAAAAATATCTAGAAAAAGCTGGGCACAGTGGTGCACACCTTTGACTATAGCATTTGGGAGACAGAGGCAAGTAGACCTCTGTGAGATCAAGTCTAGCCTGGTCTACACAGTGAATTCCAGGCCAGCTGGGGCTACAGGGAGACCCTATCTCAAACAAAACAAAACAAATATCTAGAAAAGTCTAAGGGTGCAGTATTTCCCACAGGGCCGTGCTATAATTAGGTGGTTAGACTCAGGGAAAACTTTCATTACTCAAAAGACTAGGCTGGACTCAGGAGAATTGGGCAATATCATTGGCCACACCAAAGCTAAGTCATCTACTGGTCCCATTAGAAGACATCACCTAGCTATGGCTCCTCCCACAACCAGGGAAGCTGAGCATGATCTAGTCAATAAAGAGACAGAAATCAGATCCTTATCCAGATGAGCACAGAGAATCCACATAACACCTTGATCACACTTGACCTGAAGTTTGGACCTTTGCTGTGGGATTTCTTTATAATATGCTGAAGCCTGGAAGGAATCTGAGAATTCTCAGGTCCAGCTTTCATTAGTAAGCCAGGCTGAAGTTTTTCTTAAAGTCTCCATCAGATGTTTGCGGGTATTAAAGACTGGGATGTAGAATTTTACGATTTTCCAAAATGTGTTCTGAACTTTTTCTTATTATTGCCCCCCCCATTTTTTTGCTTGTAATGAATCTGGAAAGGGATCAGAAACTCAAGAATGGTTCGTTTTGCCATTTTCTTTTCCTCTTGCCAAGGGAGCCCTGCAGCTGTGCTTTCTCTTGTTGAAAAGGGGAACGCCTTGGTTATTAATAATAAAAAATCCAAAGTAAGTCTAGCCACAATGAGACATTCAAAATGATGGATCTGGTGGGCTGAAGGAAGATCAGAAGGGAAGAAGTGGTGGCAGGGCCAGAAACTAGCCAAGTGTGGCAGCGTCTTCAAGGGTCCAGAATACCCCACCCAGTTGAAAGGTGTTAAAAAATTGTAGCCACTGGGTGACATCTGGATGTCTTCAAACATCCGTGTGGCTGGCATTGAGTGCCCAGGACACCTGCAAGAGTGACTGCATTTTTCTTGTTTTTGTTTTGTTTTGATTTTTTTTTTTGGTACAAATTTTTGGGTATCCTCTGGCTTCCAGATGTGTTGCAGAGTCTTGCTAAAAATAAACAAGTGTGCTGTTAGGCAGGCACAGCCCTCTCTGTGTGGGGAAGCTTCAGTGCTGACCTTGGGTGTCACTTGGAAAAGTGAGTGCATGTGGCAGTGTGTGGCAGCAGCCAGATCTAGACTCATTTACCCATTTGGGGGGCTGCATAAGTCAGCCCAAGGGGCTTCTCTGTGTGTGCGTGGCTTACTCGAAGCTTTTTATTCCAGTATCATATCTGATTGTCAGCCTTCCTCACTCACTGCCCTGGGTGGGATGAAGTGAGGCTAGGAATGTACCCCAAGGACAAGATGACATCTGTCTGGCTCCTTTCAAAGCACCTGGCACATTGCCTGGCACTTGGTAGAGCTCAAGACATATCTATTGGATGGTCAGGTGGGTGGCATTGGGCATTGGAGAGCTAGGTAGTGAGAGGCAAGGTGTTGTAGACACAGGAAGTCACAGCTCACTCTGAATTCCATCTCTGCTACTTCTCTGAGGTTCACTTTCTGCCTCTGAGAAACAACAGGAAAAAGAACAAGGTACTGACAAATTGCTGTGAGATTGGAGTAGAGTCACCTCACAGGTGCTCAGTACATAACAGCTATGGTTATTCCTCATGTAATTACTACTGACCAGCAGAGCTAGTTGCATGGATCCAAGAGTACTTCATTTTTCTTTGTATCCCTCAAAGACAGCCATACTTTCCTCTTCCCTCCCTCCCTCCCTCCCTCCCTTTGTCTCCTCCTTCCTTTGTCCTCCTTACCTTTCCCCCCTCCTCTTCTCTTCTCTCCCCCACCCTCTTTTTGTCCAGAGCTCAAAATCAAACCCAGAGCAAGTACTCTGCCATTGGGCTACACCTACAGGTCCTTACATACTTTGTTAACATGAGCTGATTAGAAAGAGATCAGAAGAAGAGGAAAGATGATCTCCAATTCGGAGCATCAAATCCCACTGAGGAATGAGTGTGCTTGAGTTTGAGGCCGATGCCCTGGTAGGTGTTCTCAAGCATGGTATCTCATGGAGGAAACAGCTGGGGGAGTTGTAGGTGAGGTCTTCCAGGAAAACTTACGGGCCATGTTGCTTTGGCAACATGATGAAGCACATGCTCCTAACCCTCATCAGAAGTGATGGAAATGGATGTGCGAGTGTGGACGCCCCACCAACAACACAGAAACAAAGAGCCAGTGTGAGTCTTGACTTGTTTCTCAGCCTGGGTGCTGGATCACTGGGAGTCCTTGAACCCCGTGAAACTTGTGGGGAAAATTGCATGCATATGGCTTTTAAAATACCCTATTTCAGTGGATTCTTCTAGAAGACAGCCCAGCCCAGCACATTGGTTAACTCCCATGAGGGCCAATGCTCCCAAAGTGGTTAAAGGAGACTCTTGCAGAGATGGAGCTATCTCCACTGTCCTGTGCTGGGCCTGACTAGTGCACAGAGGAGGGAAGTGACCCGACTCACAAGAAACAGTGGCACATTGATTTGTACTGACTCAATAACTAGTAATCAGGTACTTGCTTTTACAAAGCTTCAGGAAGAGGATTCACTCGAGATCCCATCCATTGACCACCATACATCCATTATCCATCCATCTACCCAACTATCTATCCATCCACCCATCCATTCATCATCCATCCATATATCCAGCTATTTACCCTCTTATCTGTCTAACTATCCATCCACCATCTATCCACACATGCATCACCCAGCTCTCCATCCATTCATTATTCATTCATCCATTCATTACCCATCCATACATCTATCCTGCTAGCCATCCGCCATCTATCCCCAACTCATCCACCATCCATCATCCATCCACCATCCATCTACCCATTCATCATCCTTCCATCCATTCATCCATCCATCAACCAGCTATCCGTTGCACTTATTTATTGCACGTTTTCTCCATATAGCATAATACTGAAGAGCAAGGACGTTGTAGTCAGACTAGTCACAGCTCCACTATTATCAGCCCTATGAGGTCTTGGACAAGTTTCTTAAACTCTGTGTTTCTTTTCTCTTATGTTGAAGATGGGAATAATTCACCTCATAGTGTTGTGAGGATTAAGTGGGTCACCTTTTAGGAAATAATTAGAATTGTGCCAGGTACAGTCAACACTATGTGCGCTTGCTTTTACTGTTATTGTTGGTATTGATACTGTCTTGCCTTTGTGGAATTTACATGATGGATGAGGAAATAATAATAATAATAACAACAACAACAATAATAATAATGCCGGAGATGCAGCTCAGTTGGTAGAGTGCCTGCCTAGCATGCACAAAAGCCCTGAGATGGAGTCTCAGCACCACATAAAACCAAATATGGTGGTATAAGCCTGTAAATCTAGCACCAGGGCAGCGGAAGCAGGAAGATCAGAAGTTCAAGGTCATCCTCAGCTACCTAGTAAGTTTGAGGTAAGCCTGAGCTAGATGATGATGTTGATGGTGATAGTGCATTTTACTGTACTTTCCCCTGAACCAAGCTCTGAAATAAGTGGCAGTGCATGCTTCCCCACTCAGTTCTCAAGGCTTCCCTCTGTAGGAAGTGTTACCAGCACCTGTTCCCTTTTATAGAAGTAGAAACCAAGTTCAAGGAAAAGCAACAGCAAACAGGTTTAGAACTCATAGCCCAAGAGTGTGACCTCAAGACTCCACTCCTTTTTGTCAGAACGGTGGTTGGAATTAACAGTCTCCAGTCCTTCTCTCATCCAGCACAATCTCTACTCTTGGCTATGGGATAGGGTGACTGATCGTTTTCCTGTCTTGGCAGATGAGGAATGCGCCAGCACTGAGCACGCCTATAAGAAGCCGTACATGGAGACGTCCCCCAGTGAAGAGGACCCCTTCTACCGCTCGGGCTACCCCCAGCAGCAGAGCCTGAGTGCCTCCTACAGGACAGAGTCGGCCCAGCGGCAGGCATGCATGTATGCCAGCTCTGCACCGCCCAATGAGCCCGTGCCCAGTCTGGAAGACATCAGCTGTAACACGTGGCCCAGCATGCCCTCCTATAGCAGCTGTACCGTCACCACAGTGCAGCCCATGGACCGCCTACCCTACCAGCATTTCTCCGCCCATTTCACCTCTGGGCCTCTGGTCCCTCGGCTGGCTGGCATGGCCAACCATGGTTCCCCTCAGCTCGGAGAGGGAATGTTCCAACACCAGACCTCGGTGGCCCACCAGCCTGTGGTGAGGCAGTGTGGGCCTCAGACTGGCCTCCAGTCCCCAGGTGGTCTCCAGCCCCCTGAGTTCCTCTATTCTCACGGCGTGCCCAGGACCCTGTCCCCACACCAGTATCACTCGGTACATGGCGTTGGCATGGTGCCAGAGTGGAGCGAGAATAGCTAAAGGCAGACATTTGCCAGAGAGAGAGAGGAGACGGGGACAGTAGTGAGGAGAACCCCACGGCTGAGATAGCACAGATCACCTGTAGTCATGTCTGCACCCAAGGACCTGCAGCCCCTGATCTAATCGGTGGCCTGCAGTCACCATTCCAGAATTGTGACTCTGTTGTTTGTTCTCAAAACTTAAAGAGCAGTTAAACGAGAGAGAGAGAGAGAGAGAGAGAGAGAGAGAGAGAGAGGGGAGTCCCACCCTGCACGAGCTCCACTCTCATCAACCAGCCACGTTCACATCCCAGACATCTTTCCCAATTGTTTCTTTTGGGTTCTAGAACATTCTGCCTCGTTGAGTGTTTGATCCCGGTGCACGGTGAGAGTCTTTCTCTGTCTTGGTATTAATGCTGACTTTGTTATATAATAAATAATAATATATTTTTTTCTTCGAATTTCTTAATGGGACCCAGTCCCTTATTGGAGGGAGATCGGAGGCAAGTATGTTTCAAAATGCATGCTTGTGGGGCTCCCTCTTATAAACCAGCTAAAATGTACATCCGCCACCCTCCTCTAACAAAAATACCTACCTCCATCATGTGAAATTTCTATGAAGGTCCCCGAGGTCCAAGCTGTTTTGTTTTTGTTTTTGTTTTTTGTCTCGTGTTCTTATTCTGCCTTTCCTAGCATCATGGCGTTCAGAGCTGCCTTCTACTTATGGATGGATGGAGTTAGGATATCACTGGGCTCCATCTGACATCCTGTCTTCCTCAGCACCACCACCTCCCCAGCTCCAGGTCTCTGCAGTCATCTGTCGCTGGAACGTGGCCTATAGCGTCCCATTTGGAAATTTTGCTTTGAAAAACTGAATGAACCCAGGTTAGCCTGGGTGGGGAGCAGAACTGTGATCAGCAGCAGGGGACAGGCCCTGAGCTCAGAAGTGCTGGGGGAGGAAAAAAAGCCAAAATAAATATGCTTTGTGATGAAAGAAACCAAAGTCAGCCCCAGGCTGGCAAAAACCTCCTCAGCGAACCAAATGAGATGCACAGAAAAATGTCTCAGTCCCTGCAGAAGAGACAAAACACGCTCACAGCGCTTCCTCCCAAAGAAATCATACCAGCGCTGAAACCGCGTGCATCAAAAGCGGAAACCAGTATTAAAAAAAGTATGTAAGTAATACATTATTGTAGGGTTCCTCAGATGTAATATTTTACTGGTACTATTTATTTATAAATAGGAATTCTAATTAAGTGAAACCCAGTCTGGGGGCTGACCAAGAGCTTTTAATTTTATTGATATCAAAACCGAGTTTGTTTCTTTTTCCTCTCTCTCTCTTGAATGTGCTTTGCTTTTTTGATTTTTTTAAAAAAAAGTTTTGTGTTTCTTTTTTTTTTTTTTTTTTTTTTAACTGACCCTAATAAACAGAACAGGGTAATATGTGCGACTGAGCGTGTTGAAGTCTGTGAGGGTGTGAGTGTTTTTGCACGAAAGAGTCTTTCTGGGATTTTGTCTTTTTATGTTGCTAAGGGGGGAGGGTGAGAATTAAGTACTCGTTCCTTATATTTGTGTGCCAATTAATGCCTAATAAATACCATGTGCTTAAAAAAAGAACCAGAGACTTGAACACCCTTTTTTCCCCCTCTGCTTTCTACTGACTGTATAGAGGGGTGGGTGGTTAAGCTGAGGGAACAGGGAGGCTTGCATATGACTTTTGCATGCCCTCTCTCTTCTCCTTCTGATCTTGGAGATATTTCAGACCCACTGTTCCCGAGCAGGATGAAGCTGGATAGCTTATCATGGCTTTATAACCCTGGAATGCAATGTTTTAAATTGAATTTACGTTGGCATTAGAAAGAAATACCTTTAAGAGGGTCAACTGTGAGTTACTTTCCTCATCTCGTGATCAAATCCCTCACAGAAACAACTTGAGAGGAAAGGTTTATTTTGGCTCAGGGTTTCAGAGGGTTCTGTTCAGGGTTGCTTGGTCCAGTACACCAGAGCATCATGGTGGTAGAAGCGAGGGGATGTATGTATGTATTACATACATGTATGTATTAAGCTTCCTTAATCTCATAGTGAATGGGAAGAAGAGAGGAAAGAACTAGGGACCCTGTATAGCCTTCAAAGGTTGGTCCTCAGCGACCCACTTCCACCACCTAGTTCCCATCTCTCAGTTTCCACATCCTTCCAAATAATACCACCTGCTGGGGACCAAGTGTTCAAACACAAGGCCGTGACATTTTCTGTTCAAACTACAAAATAAGCTGCTCTAAAAGTGGGTTACATCATTCAACAGTTAACACCCAGGCCAGGTTTTCCTGGAGTATATTTTCCTGAATTATTTTCAGAATCAGTGTTTTGGGGGTCTCATTGCAAAACTTTATGGAGCAGTATTAATTTTTTTAAAGCCCAAGAGTTTTGGATTTGTAAGTTTGTCTTCTATAACTCATATAGGACAGATCAGAGCAGCAGATTGGCAAGGAAATTAGTGTTGCCAGGAGCTGAGGAGCTGGATCAGTAGGAGAAGTACCTTCTGCATAAGTGTGAGCACCAGAGGTCCAGCCCAGCACCCATGTAAAAAGCCAGGCACAGGGTGCATGCATGTCATTCCAGCACTGGGAGGTGGACACAGGAGGATTCCTGGAGCTCACTGGCCACTGAATTGGTGAGTTCCAGGTTCAGTAAAAGACTCTTGTCTTGGAAAAAAAAATAAAGTGGAGAGTGATTGAGGAAGACACCTGACATCGACCTCTGGCCTCCACATGCACATACATGCATTCATATCCACATGTACATGTATACACACAACAAGCACACAAACAATAATCATAAAAAGTGAGTCAGGCACAGCGGTGCATACCTTTAATCACAACACTCAAAAGGCAGAAGCAGGCAGATTTCTGTGAGTTCAAGGCCAGCCTGGTCTACATAAAGATTTCCAGGCCAGCTGGGGCTACATAGCCAGACCTTGCCTCAAAAAGGAATGAGTATTGCATTTTTTTCTTCTTTTCCAAAGTTTTATTTATTCATTTATTTATATAAAGTGCATGAGTCTTTTGCCTGCATGTATGTAAGTGTACCCATGTTGTGCAATATCCATGGAGGTCAGAAGAGGGCGTCAGATCCCCTGGAACTGCAGTTACAGACGGTTGTTAGCCACCGTGTGGGTTCTGGGAACCAAACCCAAGTCCTCTGCAAGAGCAGTCAGTGCTCTTAACCGCTGAGCCATCTCTCCAGTCTCTTTTTTTCTTTTTTTTAATAATTTTTTTTGGTGCTGAGGATGGAACCTAGGGCTTCAAGATGTTAGGCAGGTACTACAGAGCCATATCCCTAGTCTACTTTCTGGGGCTGCTACTTACTGCTTGGTCTCCTTGATGGGGAGGATATTGCCTTGGGATGAGCCATACTTGTCTTGTTAATAAACATAACATGCACATATGCTCTGTTCCCCCATCTCTCTGTCTCTGTCTCTCTTTTTCTGTCTCTCTGTCTATCTGTCTGTCTGTCTCTCTCTCTCTCTCTCTCCCCCTTTCTTGCTCTCTCTGATACCTATCTCTCACCTTTGTTTTGTGATCTGGATTGTTAAATTCACTCCCTTCCTGTTCCTATGACCTTGACTTCACCTTTTTGATCATCTGTTTAATCCTATGGGGCAGAAGATTCCAAGAATTTATCCCAGAGATACTTGGTTCTAGTGAGGACTCAGCACACAATGCTCAGCATAGAAGTCTGGCAGAGAGAAAATGCCTGGTAACCATCAGCTAACGCAAAGATTGATCAGTATTTACCGTTATTAGTTCTTATTCATCTTCTCTTCTTTCCTTGAGAAACTCATCCCATGATCTTCTGTTAATTTCATAGTGGGCTAAAGCTCATGGGGTGGGTTAGGAAAACATCATAGTTATCACCATCATCACCACCATCACCTCTTCATCACTATTACTACCACCTTCATCACTAGCCCCATCACCACCATTATCACCATAACAACCACCACCACCCCTGCCATTACCATCATGATCACCACTATCATCACCATCACCACCATCATCACCATCACCATCACTATTACCACCAGCATCACTACTATCACCATCATCACCACCATCAACACTATCACCATTACCACCATTACCACCACTGATATCACTGCTATCACCATTATTGTAACCATTGCCATCATTACCTTCGTCAATAATTAGTTTCCCCACATAGACATCTTCTTAAACATAATTTAAATAAGTTTTATTTAAATAGCTGGTACCAATCCTGAACCTCATAGCAATAGAAGTGACAGTAATTTCCACACTCCCAAAGGCTACTCATCCCTTCATTCTTTCTTTTCTGATCTTAGATACATTCTCATTCCACATAGCATAGAGAGCAATGAATGTCAATCCTACTGAGTATGTTGATATAAGAAGAGTTGGTCCTTGTCCCATAACTGAAGGTTCTGGGTTGGGGTTATGAGTTGAAGATGATTTCTGGAAGTTTAAACATTTGAGATGAGTGGTGGTCATGGTAATAGTAGCTCTCCCTTGATTACCATGTACTGTGTTCTCACACCAAGAAGCGTGCCCGTAGAGTTCCCTCCCTGGGAAGAAGAGGTCAGCCTAATGCTCACCATGCAGATAAGGAAGGAGAGACCTCAGGTGATATGTTCACAAAGATCAACAAACCTGAGCAGCTTGTCCACCTGGCCATGTAGCCCAGACTCCTTTAGCTGATGGACCAAGTTGCACCAGCTCTGGTCTTCCTCATGGGCTCAGGAGAAGAGATAGAGGGTGGAACAGGAGAGATGGAGTTGGTGTGTGCTGAGAATCACTGTGCAAGCGTGTGGTATGTCCTTGAGGTTTCCACTTCAGGAAAAGTAAAAACTACCTTGTGACTTTGTGGCTATAGATGGACTGTCCCCACAGGACAAGAACTTCAGGTTTCCTGTCTCAGGAGCCTAGCTAGCTCTGCAGAATGTGAGCACCTTATTCACTTCCACAAGCCTCAATTTTCACCTCTGTGGAATGGAAGCCATCACATTGGGATTGAAGAAAGGAGGGTATAGGAAATGCTTGGAGGGGTGACTGGCCCTTTCTGTGCATCTGAGAGAGGCTTAAAAATAAACCTTAGCTCCTCAGGACCACTACTATCTCCACCATCACTATCACCATCTCCATCATCACACCATCACTATCTCTTTCATCACCATTACCGCCATCACTATCTCCACCATCATCGCTTCCAACACCATTACCATCATCACCAACACTATCACCATTACCATCATCACTATCTCCACCACACCATCATCACCATCTCCATCACCACCATTACCACTATCACTATCACCACCATCACTATCTCCGTTACTACTACCATAATCATCACATTACAGTCACCATCACCACCATAATTACTATCTCACCACACCATCAATACCACATCACATCATCACCACCATCACTATCTCTGTCATCACCATTACTATCACAATCACCACCATCACTGTCAGCACTAACACCATCATGATCTCCATCACCACCACCATCACAACCACTACCATCACCACCATGGCTATCACCTTGCTGTTCCTGTTGGAGAACCTTCTGTTCTTGGTGTTCCCCACAATAGGCCTTCTTATTTCTAGAACCGTGGTTTTCCAGGGCCAGAGGGGCTCTGTGCAGAAACATTCCAGTTCAGTTTGCTTACACATTCATAGCACTTACTATGACCCAAACAAAGGAACTAATCAGTGACTCAGCAGATACTCTCTTCAGAGGACACATCCCACCAGTAGGGAAGGGCTCTGTTACAGAGCTTATCTTCTGACTTTTTCTGATGAGACATGTCTGTTCACCCCAGACAGGGCACCAGCATCAGGCCAAAGAAAAGATCTCAAGTTTAGCTTAGTGAACCATTGAGCAAGCTTATTGGAATTACTTACAGGAGTATGGAGGACTCAAAGATAGTCTGTCATCAAAGAGCCCACTCCAGCATGGGTGACAACT